CACTAATTTTGTAACTGCATTCCAAACAAACACGCATTATATATTCCATTTCCTAACCAAGCAAATGTTTTAAAAGACGCAAATCATCTGGTTAACCTGGATCAAAATCATGGTCGTCCCAAATGACAGTCTTAAACTTCATCTCTTGTCCCAAACAAACCATGCTCTGAGAACAAACATTGTCTTTTCATTAAACTTGAGGAAGCATGAAGACCTATGAAAACCAATTGAATTTCTGAGAACTCATTTTCTTCTAAGGATTGCAAGAAAAACCCTAATTGCTGGTTTACTGCCACTGAAGAGAATCTGTCTGGTCGATTTCTGAACCAATTTGAATATCCGAGAAACCCTAGGGTTGTGTCTTCTATGAAAAATGGGAGGGAAAATTTTGGGGTACAACACCCTCTCATTTTACTCAGCACATGCCCATTGTGATCCTTAATTTGCTCAAGGTTTGCCCAAGAGTTAACCAGACAAACTCTCTCCTAAGGCCATGTGTCTCAAATTAGGATTTCCATTTTCATCAAGATGGGTGTACTGTAAAGGCCTCAAATTCTTTACACGGTCCTAATATGCTCTCAAGGTCATCCATGTCAAATCTCATACCTTGCACAAGAAGTTTGCTCAGTCAACTGCTCAAATGCTTGAAAATCGATTATATTAGGTCAAAAGTCAATTGTGGCCCACATACAGTCAAACCTCAATATTTTTGGTCAACATCAACATTTTAAAGTGACTTTCATCATTTTATCAAGGGTTGATCATGATACCTCAAGGAATGCTCTTAATTCATCAAAACTCAAAAGTTGTTAAATTAGGGTTTCTCAGGAAAAGTCAACCAAACTTTGACCAAGCATAACTTCTTCATACTTTATCAGAAATTTTCCATCCAAGGCTCATTTTTAAGAGGATGAAATTCCCTACAATTCATCTTCATCCCTCAAGTTCAAAATATGCACTCACAAAAAGATATGAATTTCTACATTATAGGTCCTTTTGGAAAGTCAACAAAAACACTTTAGGTCAAAGCTCCTTACATGAACATGGAAGACCCAATTGAGATGAGACCAAAAGGTTTGTTTAGTAGACATCCTAAAATTTCTAAAAAGTCCAAGAACACCTCTCTAGGGTTAAAATTGGAAGATATATGTCTTATCAAAGTTGACCATTTTTTTAAAATTGTCAAAAGTCAAATGTGCTCAAAGATGCATTTTTTTGCCAAATAGGCCTAACGTTTTATGCCTTCACCTCACTCATCACATGGTCCATGACCAAAATATTCACCCACACATTTTTTTTCTTCATTTTCCATTTTATTTTGATTTTTTATTAATTAAAAATTAAATTAAACCAAATAAATGACAACTAATAGCAAATATTTGTTTTGATCTAATTTTTGGACAAGATCACAAGCTAATTATGCTGAAATATCAGGATAAAATCGAATCAAGGTGGATTGGCATAAGAATGGCATAATTAGGCCTAATTTGGAAACAAATCATACAAGGGAGGAATGAGATTAAATCTTCAAAAGTTTCAAAGATACATGTAGTTTTTATAACCCTAATTCATCCAGGGATATATATGGAGTAAGACTAAGTGCATAAAGAGGGTGGAAGTCGTGGTCTAATACCCCAAATTTGTCCTACCCTCTTACTTGTATCTGGTTTATGCATTATCGCGCTTTTCTCAGGTACATAACTCCATTAGGTCATTTAACATTGCATACATCCGCTAACAACATAACTTCGTAAGGGGTCGAGAACCTTCAGGATTAGGGTTTTATCAACTGACTGGGGTGTATATATGTTCAATAGAGCCTGATTCTTCTGGTTATTTTTCAAGGCTGTGAAATTGCAGAATTAAGATTGTTGTATGGCTTTAAGGCTCTCATATTCGCACAAAATTGTTTCGGTTGATTTCTCTATCAATCATTTGTTTAAAGCTAGGGTTTTATTTTCTGGACTTCTTTATCGTCAACTACAATGGTATTCTTTCTTCTCGATATCAAGTTGCAATCTTTCTTCGAGGCTTAAGAATTAGGGTTTTTGTCTGTTAATATTCAACTGAGGATCCTTGGATTTCCAAGTCAAGGTTATCTTCCATGTTCCCATATTCCTATATTCATTCTCCATATTTCATCGAGGCTTTGTTGTTGTGTTAAGACCACTATTGAACCATGATACAAGGTTTTGAGTTTGAAAGTCCATTGTGCTCAGGGTGTCATTATTTGAAATGCTTGTTGCTTAACGCACAAATTTGGTTTAGATCAGAAAATTGAATTGAATTAGGGATTCACTGAAGCTGTAGTTTGATTAGAATTCATTCATTAATATTTGAAGTGGATTTGGAGAAAATCAAAGTTCTTAAATATTTGCGTGACTTTTCTTGGAATTCAAATCACAAGTATGAAAAAGCATGCATCGAATTCATCCAACCATCAAAATATCGTCCAAATAGCCTCTCATGGATTCATTCAAGATTCACGTCTCTTTTGATTACCTCGCAAATATTTTGGATTCATACCATGATTATTTGAATTCATACAAAAGCCATTTCATTATATGGAAATAAAGTCAACATACATTCCAATATGTATTCAAATACATATAAGTCCAAATTCCATTACAATCATACACAACATCTATACATTTTTACCAAAACCTATCCTAATTTTCAATCATTCTTCATGCTTCAACCTTTAACCCAAACTTCAAGCTTCCAAAACTTCGTGTTGTGCATCTTTGTTCCAACTTCATATCATCTCCAAACTCATGCAAATCCTCACTTGGTGTTTTCCTTTTGCCTTTGCTTCCCAATAGCCCTGATATCCAAACATGAACCTGCACCGAAAAATCAACAAAAAACGATTCAATTTATGATTCCAAAGTTAATCAGAAAATCATATTTGCTACCTCGCACGAGAGAAAAAAAACCAAAACAAAATTGCATTCCCTAACCATTTTCTAAACAGCCCTGCACATAAGAAAGTTCATAACAAAATTTCTAACAAACCTACAGCCTCCTAACCAATTCCAACTAACATTTCAAATAGAAAGCCAAAACAAAATTCCAACATCCAGCCAACCAGCTTCCAAACAGAAAAACCTCTCTATAACCAATCATAACTACCAACCTGCAACAAAACCAATTTCTATAACCTACTGTAACAGAATTTCCAAAAAACTAAAACAAAATTCACTAACCTAACCAATTCTATAACAAACTCTCAAACTTCCAACTAATTCCATAACCAACCCATAGCATATTTGCAACCAAAACCAACCTCCACATAACTAACAGGATATAAAAAAATTGGCTCACCTGTTCTACTCTCTGCATAATTTTCATCTTCATTGAATCTTCAATATCTTCTGCAAATCTCCTATTCAATCTTCAGCATTTCATCATCATGGCATCATCGTTACAACTTCAAAATCTCTTGAGTCTTCAATCTTCCATCAAGCAACAACACCGCCACAATCAAGAACGACAAATTCACACGATCAGATAAATCCCCAGTGAAGTCGCCAGCTGAAACAACCGACTGAAAATCATCAAACAATTAAGTCTCCATCGAACGTCTTTTATCCCACATGTAGGGAAAGGTAAACATCGAGAAAACCTGAGAAGGGAGAAGTCACAGTCTTGCGACCGAGAGATCGAGTGAGGGAGTCTGTTACGAGAGGGGAAGGTATTAGCACCCCACATGCCTGTAGTGCTCTACGGTATCCACTCTTGTTATCTATCTTATGGGTGTGTTTAATCTATGCTTACCGTTTATTACTGCTAAAGGGAGAATGCATGCTAAAGAAAGGAGAAAAGAATGTAGGGAAAATAAAATTGTATTCCCTAACCATTTTCTAAACAGCCCTGCACATAAGAAAGTTCATAATATAATTTCTAACAAACCTACAACCTCCTAACCAATTCCAACTAACATTTCAAATAGAAATCCAAAACAGAATTCAAACATCCAGCCAACCAACTTCCAAACAGAAAAAACTCTCCATAACCAATCATAACTACCAACCTGCAACAAAACCAATTTCTATAACCTACTGTAACAGAATTTCCAACAAACTAAAACAAAATTCACTAACCTAACCAATTCTATAACAAACTCTCAAGCTTCCAACTAATTCCATAACCAACCCATAACATATTTGCAACCAAAACCAACCATAACAGAATATAACAGAAAAAGAGAGCAGGCTAACCGTTTTTTGGAAGAACCTTCTAACAGGACTTCATATCATCATCTCTGCAGATTCTCATTTATACACAATCATTATCCATTCATGATTGTTCACAGTTTATCAACACAGAGAAAACTACCAAAAATCTATCTATCTATTCACTACATGATTCATACAGAAAATAGAGAGAGAAAACTCACCAGAAAACGTTCTACTCTCTGCATAATTTTCATCTTCATTGAATCTTAGACATCTTCTGCAAATCTCCTATTCAATCTTCAGCATTCATCATCATGGCATCATCGTTACAACTTCAAAATCTCTTGAGTCTTCAATCTTCCATCAAGCAACAACACTGCCACAATCAAGAACGACAAATTCACACGATCAGATAAATGCACAGAAAAAGCAGATAGAAAAATCAGAGAAAAGATTTGGGAAGCTCACCACAGAGAAACATCCAAAAATCGCGGTTTCATCATCAATCTTCATCTACATTGGACTTTCAGCACCTCTCTTTAATCATTATCAACAAATGTTTTGCGTCGTCACCACCTTCAATCTTCATCTTCTTGTATCATCACCATCATTCAATCATCAACTATGTGTTCATCAATGTCTTCGACGCAACGAGTCATCTACAAGGCAGCAACGACTTCAATCATCAATTAATTTCAAGAACAGTACAACAATGATTAACACGGAACACAAATAGGGAAACAAAATCCAACCTGAGGCGTGAGCAAAGACGGTGATGAGCAAATCAAGCGATTTCTTGAACAATCTTCTCTCGCAATCCCGATGGCTTCCTCTCTTGCAGTCAAGCGATTTCTCTCCTCCCCCCTTCTTTCAAGATCTCTCCTTTGCCCCGTCGCCTCTTTCAACACCAACGCCATGCGCAACTACGATAAACACTCTGATGACCGTAACGTTGATGTCGATCGCCGCGCTTTCCCTCACACACGGCGCGATGATCTTCTTCTCTCAGATGTGTTCGATCCGTTTTCTACACCATGGAGCTTAAGTCAAGTCCTAGACATGGTGAATTTACTGACGGACAATTCGGTCCTTTCTGCTGCTTCGCGATGCGGATGGGATGCGAGAGAGATAGAGGATGCTCTACTTCTTCGTTTGGATATGCCTGGACTCGGTAAGGATGATGTGAAGATCTCCGTGGAACAGAACACTCTTATTATTAAAGCTGAGATGAAAAACGTCGTGCCGTATGAGTGAGAGAGAAGAAGGAGTTTTTCCTCGATGAATTCCATCACCACAAACTGTGTAACCCTAACTCCCCAAAGTGACATCATATTATTTTCTTTTTCTTTTTTTAATTTTTATATTTTATTATTATTGAAACATAATCATGTTGGAAAATTGAAAAGGGCTAGACCAAATTTCCCTCTCTTCAAGCCCATTATCATCTTTTTTGGAAGCCTATTGATGTTTGCTGAAAAAAATAGTTATGGACTCTATGTGCTGGGCCTAGCGCCCTTACTAAGCCATACTCCCTGATTTCAATACTACACCCCTTGTCCTCATAATCTTTAAGATTTTATTTTTGCATATAATTTTGTCTATTTCTTTTTTATGATAAAATTCTAAGATCCATAAAAACTTGTTAGTTTTTTGATTTAGGAATTAGTTCTTGTTTGTTTGATATAATTTTCTCTATAAAAATAATAATAATAAAAAAGTGGTAGAATATTTTAGAACTCTTTAGAATTTCGATTAGAGTTTTTTTTTTACTATTTTACTTTTCATATTTGGTAATCATTTTTATTGTCATTTTTAGTCAAGATTTTTGTGATAACATCGATGTAATTCTTGCAATGTGGAATGTTCGGGGTTAATTCTTCAATCACTCATTCAAGGAAACTTTGGTAGAATTTTCTTACCGCTTGCACAATTTCGAAGAGGCAACGGACCTCCTCCGTTCGGTATCGTCACAACTCTATTTTATCCTTCATTTCCGTACTTTATTGCAATCCATTTGTGTGATACGGTGGGAGAACTGACTTGAGGTTTGCGTTTGTATTTGCACTTGTTCGGTTTAGCAAGAGTCGCCACCGACTTTTTATTTTATCCTAAGGAAAGGTTAAAAAGCACATGAAAAACCTTTTGAGATGTTTCGTGGGTTCGGGGGGTAGATTATGGAAAGGGAAGGTATTAGCACCCTTTTCATCCATGGTTATCCATGTGCTCTTAGTTACTTGGTTTAGATCACTTGCCTTTAATTTTCAATTGCTTGAAATGGTGGTGTGTGTGTGTGTTTTGAAAATGTTTTGAAAAAGATGCCTTGTCTAGGCAACCGTTGTAACAATTCTTTACTCGAATGTTTTACAAAGGTGTGTGTCTTTTCGAAAAGATATTTCAAGGTTTTGAAAGTTGTTTTGAAAGTGTTTGTGGAGTGATGTTTCAAAAAGTAGGCAAGTGTGTTTTGCAAGTTTGGTCAAGTAACTAAGAGTTGTCTACCCCTAAATTTACTCAAAGGTTTTTTTCATGTTTTTAACCCTTTTAACAGTATTGTTCCACCATTGTACTTGGTGGACAATCTTGTGTTAGGATGTTAACGGGACAGGCGCGGGTCATCGTATGGACCATGAATGCAATGGTGCCAAGTGTCTTTGGCAATTTTGCTTGAAGGGACTATGATCATTTTGTTTAGGCAACTTTCGAAAGCGTCATCGAGGGACTATGATCATTTTGATTTGTTTTGTTTTGCCAAAGAAACTCAACATGCAAGCATGGCCCATTTTGGAAGGCAACGAGTGGGATTACCCTAGGGGTGCAAGTGTGAATGATGTATTGATTGTTGTTGCACCCCAAAATTTGCCCTCCCATATTCTTCAAGAAATTGCCAAGCCAAGTCACAAAATTCCCCAAGGGTTGTGCAGTCCAACTGTCTCCTATACAGTCAAAACTAGGGTTTGGGTTCTGATCAAAGAAAATGAAGTTTTCAAAGGCCCAATAAAGTCCCATGCCTACAAATGTGGTCAGGCATCTTCATATCAAGTTTCAAGGCATTCAGCTCAAAATTGCACAGTCAAAACCCTAAATTGCACTACAGTCAACTGTAGGGGCAAAATGGTCATTTGACAGTCAAAAGTTCAAATTTTTGGTCAACATATCATTTTGAAGCCACAAACATCATTTGATCAATGCTTGATCATGATTCTCAAAATTTGGCTCAGAAAATCATCAAGATGCAAAAGTTACTATATTTGGACAGTTGAAAAAGTCAACTGAAATTGACCAGGGCATAACTTTCACATGGATTATCAGAAAAATTCCATCCAAAGCTCATTTTGAAGAGAAAGACATTTCCTACAACTCATCTTCATACTTCAAGTCCAAGAAATGCTCTCACAAAAAGTTATCAATTTCAACATTATAGGTCATTTTCAAAAGTCAACAAAAAGGGACTTTAAGTCAAAGACCATAACTTGAGATTGGTAAATCAAAATGACATAGGACCAAAGGCATTGGTTAAAGGACTCAAAGACCTTTCCAAAATGTCCAAGAACATGAGAAAAGATTAAAAATTGAACAAGTTATGCCTTGTGGAAGTTGGGAAATTTTTGGATATTTTGAAAAGTCAACTTTGATCCAAATGACCTAAAATTGCAAATGGGCCCATTTTTCTTCCATGATTCATCATTCTAAGCATGTGCACGACCACTTGGCCCAAAGGGAAGTATTTTCTCATTTTTTATTTATTTATTTGGATTTTTATTTATATTAATTCAATTAAATCAATTAAATATATGAAAAATGTTTAAATTAACCAAACCAATCTTTTTATACATGTTTTAAGGTCAATATTTCGTGTAAAGGCAAACTAGGAAAGATTTGGAGCTAATTGATCATAATTGATACAAAAACCATGTGGAAAAGATATGAAAAGATCTTGGAAAATCAAATATGCAAAATCATCAATGCCATGGATTTTATTCAATTTTCTTAACCTAATGCCTTCACTACATAATCAGAAACCTAAACCTAATGCCCATACACTCTAGGATGCGCTAAAGAACTCATTAGAAACTTGAAATTTTCTCCATAAAAAGCAATTCTGAAATCATTGGTAGAGGGCGATTCAAGGCACAAAAGCTTTTCCAATAGCTTCCTCAAGTCCTCCTGATCACATTGCAATCCAAAACATCAACTCAAACTCCAGGAATTGGTATATAGAACCTTCCCTGTACAGCAAAAAAGTGACGATCGTATTTTCAATTCTAGGCATTCTCATGACATTCTAATTATGGATTCTTGTTCCTTGTGATGTTTTAAAGCTAACCATTATGTTTAATTTGATTATCATGCTGTGTATGAGATTTTACCATGCGCGATTTCTAGGGTTTACAGGTTTGTTAATTTGGGGCTTCTGAAATTAGGAAAAATCAGGACTCCAGACCACCACCATTCAACTGAGCAAGCCTGGACGAAGAAATCCCAACCCTCGCGCCTAATTTATGTTTAGAGATGAGCTATTCGCTATTTTCTCCAAAACGGCCTAACACAACGCGTCCAAAACCGTGGCTTTTGCTTTTATGTTTCAGGGATGGTGGAGAAGACAAAGTCGTGTCACATGGGGATAGGCCAATTCAAAATCTCGCGCGCGTTTCCAAGGGCACTAACCTTTTTCTTTTATAATATTTATTAACCATTATATATTAAATGAAATTCAAGCGCTTCAGTGGCACAGGTGTTACTTTGCAACGTCCAAGACCTGGGTTCGAGCCCCAGGTCTGTATTATGTTCATATTATTTTTCCATTAGTAATCATATGCAGGCGCAACATTGTGGTCTATGGTACGCTCCTCTATCCATCCATACACGCGTCTAACTCCATCAACCTAAAGGCCATGGATTGGAGAGTATGATGAACTCCAGTCAACGCTGAGGTATGCAAGCCACGAAAGTCAGAAAGGCCTCAGAATAATGGGCCAGACTTCTCAATTCACACCTCCACTTCAGGGCCTGAACCCCCCACTGGTTTGCAATTTCCTATTTTTTGTCTTTCTTATATTTTTATTTTTACTTGTTATCCTATTTTCTTTATTATTTTTAATTTGATCAATTATTTTACAAAATATAAAACTTCATAAAAATCAGAAAAAGACAAAAAATGCAATAAATATTTTAGTTTAATATTTTGTTGTAAATAAATGCTTGGAATTTAATTAGTTTAAAATAGGTTGCAATTTTAATTCTTTTCACAATAAAAATATAAAAAATGTAGAATTAGGTTTAATTAATTTTACTCCTTTTTAATTTCTCTTTTTCACAATAATAATATTTATTTTATTTATTTTCATAATTAAATTTGCATGTAAATTAACTTAGGTTTAAATTAGGTTAAAATTCAATATTTTGCACAATAAATTTAAAAGCTATTAGAATTAGGGTTCGCCTTTTAATTTAATTTTAATAAATCCTTTTTTCATCAAATTCCTAAAAACACTAAAAATACCAAAAAAATATTCTTTTTTTATTTTTAATTTTAATTCCTCGTTAACTTTAATATTTTGCAAAAGGGTCCAACGCCCGTATTCTTGATTATTTAATTTCGCATATTTATTTTTATTTTGCTTAAATGATTATGTATCTCTCCCAAAGCGTTGTAACTTAAACTTCTCGCACTTTTCAATTTCGTTATTTACTTTGCTTTATTTATTTTCTGTCAAATCGGGTCCGGTTTAATTTTGGCGATGTGGACCCGCGCCTTTGTAATAGTTTAGGAACTTTATATTTCTCGCAATTTTTAACTATTAATAATGACATGCAAGAATGAATGATAAAATAAAAACAAACGCATAGATCACTTTGACATGAACAAGATAAATGCAAATAAACAATACACAAAATCACACACCACCCCCTAGGGTACGTCTCACTGTTGCCTTGCCTCGAAAGGTGATCGTCGAGTAGAGGACGTCTTAGTAAGTCCTCATGATCCGGGAACCTGGCATGAGGGTAGCTTCTAAGGTGTCTTCCCATTTCTCTGGTGATCACCATGTCCCGAACCTCGAATTGACCCGAACACCTCCAACGGTGGTGCTACCTATCTCTCAATGGTGGGATGGCACTACTTTAAAGGACATTTACACAGACGAATTCCTTAGGGTAGGTAGACGACTCTAGATACTTGCTCTAAACTTCAAAACAAATCAAAAAAAATACTTTTCACACCAACACCTTTTCAAAAAGCTTTCGAAAGCAATTTTTCA